TGCTGGTCGGCCTGGACTGGAAGTATTATAGACGGAACCAACAGGCGCAATGACTTAGTTTGTATCGAAATATAGAAGTAGTACTTTATCAGCGTGATTAGCCGGGGTATGGGAAACATCTGTTGACGTGTCAGAGACGGGTGTGGGTGCACGGATTGTTCTGCATGCTGGAGAAAAGATTCTATGTGTTCGTGGAGGGTCCAGATACCGTGGAAGTCATGGCGCTCCTGTGATTGCTGGAGGAGGACTGAGAGACAGTTTCAAGTCTAGCAGATTGCGTCGAATCAGTTGCTGAATGCAGGCAAAGTGGCTGGTGGTGAATTTGAGGACACCGGGGCAGACAGACAGAGATTTGAGGTTGGTGGTTTGCCCATGACCAGTTGGTAGTAGTATTGGTGCTGGGCCACTGCCGCAATTGCTTTGTTGGACCAGCGTTTCGTTGAGTTCTTCCTAATACCGTCACAGCGTCGGCGGAGGGCTACATGGTTGGATGTACGCCCGCCCGTGGTTTTTTATACAGTTTTCAGGTCATATATACTGTACGGGAAGCGCAGCGACGGTTTGTCGTGGGCCCAGGCGGGTTGTGTCAGATGGGTGAGTGGGTTTGTATTGGCCAATGAATCGAGGTGTAGTCCCATGTAACCTCCGAGGTAGTCCGCGAATGGTCGCTTGGGGAGCAGGCCACAAAAGTGGAGTAGGTTTGATTGATGTTTGGAAAACCTAGGCTATTTAGTGTCCGTGATGATGGCTGCTGCTTGGATGAGTGCTGAGTCATAGCGCTCAAAACAGGGGGTCCGGCGCATCCTTTCATATAGGCAGAACCCAGACAATAATGTTCAGGCCATAAGTAGGCGTTTGTCGAGAGTTTTCGCATTTGGGAAGCCTACTAGCGTTAGCGGGATGAGATGTCCTTTGATACGGACAGTCGGTGCCGCTTGCAGCATACTCGACGATCTCTTTCGGGGCAGGTTAGAAACCTTACCAGGACCAATTAAAAACTTAGGGTTGTATAGGCCAGTCGGAAGTACTATTAGGATGTACTATTAGATAAAGAGACTGGGCAAGATATAAGGGCAGAAAGAGAAGTACAGGTTCTGACTACTTTTAAGCAGATATTAGTAGGGAATTAGGTCAGTGCATACAAAGTTTTGTTTAGAATTTACGTTTTTATTCATCATAAATATAAACGGGTATTTTATATTTACTTTTGCTTTTGTTTTATTTTCTATAAAAAAAAGGAAAAACGAAAAGAAAAAAGAGCGGCTCCTTCTTGTTCTGCGAGTTTCACACGCGAAGTGAAAAATAAATAATATAAAAAAACAAATAAACAACTTTTTGACTGTGTAGTGGGTAGCAAACAGTAGTTCTATTTTTTCGCACTTGAGCTATACATACTGCGATAGATACTTTTACGGATACAGTCAGCACGTATATTCAAAGGATCGTGCAATATGATTTCCAAGGTGGTAGCGTGCCTCGCACTATTTATAGGCTGCGCAGTAGGAGAAGTGCGGATACAAAATGGTCTATTGAAGGTCACATCACAGAGCGGGGATACCATCACAGCGGAGAAGTAAGGACATACCGTGTTTTGTGCTGTGTATTCAGCGTCTCAAAACCTATAAAAAATCAAATGTCTTTAATATTGTGAGATAAGAGCGGTTTTATTTTCGTAGGTACATACTTGTACATTATATCGATCGGTTTATTTGTCAGGTGATACTGAGATAGGTGCAGATATACCTTTGAGCGCTCGAATACTGTAGTTTCGCAAGCACAAATGTTTATACCAATGATAATCAAAGCATCACTAAACAATTCATAGTACAGTTGTATATACATATAAGTTCTTATGCCTCAAGTGCACAAACAATTTGACGAGTGCGTATACGTTCTGGTATATATGTAACTACACATTGCTGTTGCTCTTACATATGTACACAATCTTCTACACCTCTTTTATACAATTCAGAAACTACTATATTTCGACATTACACACACACACACACACATATATATATATACAAACATACATACATACATACATACATACATACATAAACACGTACATACATACATACATACATACAACATACATACATACATACATACATACATTCGTACATTCATACATACGTCCATCCATCCATCCATCCATCCATCCATCCATACATACATACATCCATACATACATACATACATACATACATACATACATACATACATACATACATACATACATACATACATACATACATACATACATACATACATACATATAGAAATACACAAATACATACATTCGTGTACACACACACATACACACACACACATACACACACACACACACACACACACACACACAC